ATATAGAATATATAAAATATATAAATATATATATATAGAATATATAGAATATATAAAATATATAAATATATATATATAGAATATATAGAATATATAGAATATATATATATATGACGATATATATAGAATATATAGAATATATATCCATATATATAGTTTGTCACAGCCCCTCGTTTGTTGTCCTCTTCTCTCTCTCTGCCTACGGTTTTACCGGGCAGTTCTGTTTGTGACGATATATATATATTTGGTGTTTGCCATCGAACTGATGCCATTGCGGGTTCTGTCTTCTCTTGCGATGTTTTTCTTCTTCTTTTTCGATCGTTCGTCTGTCTTCGATCGGAGGGTGCCACGTGTCAGGTGTACATAGTGACACGTCGAACGGCTAACAACCCGGACTGTAAACGCTGTGCCAGTCTGTCTAAAGTGCAGGCATCTCTCTCTCTCTCTCTCTCTCTCTCTCTCTCTCTCTCTCTCTCTCTCTCTCTCTCTCTCTCTCTCTGTTCCTACTGATGAGTCAGTCGGTGAAACTCCGACGAAACAGTTTGTCACAGCCCCTCCCTCGTTTGTTGTCCTCTCCTCTTCCCCCTCTCTGCCCCTATGCTTTACCGCCCAGCTCTTCCGTTTGACGATAAATATATGTTTGACGATATATATGTATATACACAAAAAGTGACACAACATGGAAAACAACAGTCCACTTGGTTTTCCAAGTGATCGCTTCGCGCGTTTTCATGAAACCAAGATTTATGTGTTACGTGAGCAATGCAGTTTTTTTTTCTTTTTCTTTTTCTTTTTGGTAAACAATTTACATATATTATACAAGCAGGGAAACGGGCCCGGCGTCCCCTCACCCTGTGGCAACGCAGGCTCTTAGAGTCTGGACAAAAAAGAAATAAAAATAAAAATGCCTGAATTTGTTCTATTGGGCATTTTACTATTCAGTGTGCTGAGTTCCAAATTAAATTTACTTTGTAAGTTTGTAGTGAATAAATTTTATTAGCAATAAATTTTATAATGAAGAAATTCGAGGAGAACTTGCGAAGCGGCTGTGATACATCTCCGGCTTGTGTTTCCATAACAATGTGTTAACTTGTTAAGCATATAGCTAGCGTTAATTCTGAGCCAGGATGAACCTCTGTTTTTAAATAATGGCTTAATTTGTGGAACATATATATATATATATACAGAGACAGAGAGACACAGAGAGAGAGAGAGAGAGAGAGAGAGAGAGAGAGAGAGAGAGAGAGAGAGAGAGAGAGTCAAACAGAGCTGGGCATGAAAATCTTCCTAGTATATATATATATATCGTCACAAACAGAACTGCCCGGTAAACCGTAGGCAGAGAGAGAGAAGAGGACAACAAACGAGGGGCTGTGACAAACTGTNGGGCTCCTCTTCCTGACTGGTCTCAATAGAATCAAGCAGGTCGGGAGCAACACTGATTATAGGACATATAAAGCCTTCGATACTTGGAAAAACGAAAAGAAAAAAAGAAAAAAAGAAAAAAAGAAAAAAAGAAAAAAAGAAAAAAAATTAGAAAAAAAGAAAAAAGAAAATAAGGAAAAATATAAAATATGTTGAACTTTGTTGTGACAGTTTCAATTGGTTTATCTGAGGGATGTGTCGATTGCTTTGCTTGGCTTATACGCCTTCCTTCCTCTTCCCTTGTCCTTTCTCTCACTGGATCCTTTTTTCTTTTTCTTGCCTTTGTGAGGTCTGGTTTCCTCCTCCTTTTCTTGACCTCTTTGCCTTTTGGCTGCTTGCAAGTGGGTCCTTGTGACACACGGGGATGGGGGCAGCCAGCGCTCAACCTGTCATCCACGTGCTGGCCTTGTACGTAGGAGGTGATGAACAGGTGGGGCTTTCCTTCCTTAACTTTTTTCTTTCCCTTCCTTGTTTTCCTTTTTTCCGCCTTTGCGCTCCGATTTACAGTGTGACAATATATTGGCACTGAAACTGTCTGTGCATTTGCATTTGCATTTTATTTTTGTTTTTTTTTGAGTTTGATTGGTGACCACGACGGGGGCATGAACCTGGCTGGAGTGCACAGATCATTCCATAAAGGTTGCTTCTTGTAAGGGACACTGGACCCAGTTTCCGGCTATAATAATAATAATAGTTAAAAAAAAAAAAAAAAGTGGTTTGCCCTTAGAAATAAATAAAATGAATTTTCTGCTGAACCCTAGTGGGTAAGTTGGCCGTTAAAAAAAAAAAAAATGAAAAATATTTTAAATCCTTGCAGCCCCTGAAACTGAAAACTCTATCTCAGTTTTTATGTTTGCTTTGGGCACTGGG